CTCACCTGCAGAGTATATCCAGGGTCACACTGGAAGGACATCACACTGTTCATCTGTAATCTCTCACCCACTTTGAAGCCATTCATGGGTACAACCGTTTCAGGACAGCTAGTGAGGGACACAGCTGTGAGAGAAAACAACAAAACATGACAAACAACGAGGAATTAAGCTGAGTGAAAAAGCTAGTTGAGTTTTTATTGATGAGTGTGTAGTCCAGATGCACAGGACGCGCAACAGATGTCCTACTCTTGTACTCCAGACGGAAACCGGCTGCAGAGACGCTGATATCTGAGAAGAAGTGCAGGTAGAGCTGGTTGGAGGTGCTGTTTAGGAGGGCTGGGACGGTTGTGCCTGTAGAATAACGAAGCTTTTAGCATATTGTGATTATGTAGTTGAATCACTGTGTCCTTGACTTTTTGTTCTTTTTTGATAGTGGCAATTAAACTTTGTACACTCTACATTGTTATTGTTAACTAAAACTAAAATGATTAAAATACCAGTGTTAAAAAAAGCTGAAAAGATTATAAGATGAAAAACCTTGGCAACTAACTGAAATATAGTAAGTTTAAGGTGACTAACTACAATTACTAAAGCTACAGTACCTGTAAAATGAAATAAAAATGAATTAATAAACCTTCAAATAAAATTAAATAAAGCAAAACATTCAATACTAAAAAAAGACAAAATAAAAGCAAGCAAACAAAAAAAAAATAGGGCTGTCAGTCGATTAAAATTTTAAATCTAATTAATTACAGGGTGATGCGATTAATCTAATTAATCGCAAACTAAATTTGGCTGTGGAAAATAACCTCAAAACATAATTTAAAGCTATTATTGTGTTAAATGTTTAGGCTACAATGGCCTAACATAAAACATAAAAGAAGATGATTTGAGAAACATCTCATTTATTTATTTATTTTTGGTGAACTATCCCTTTAACGTTTTTATTTATTTATTATTTTAATAAATTAAATGATACTCTAAAGAAGAAACTAAAACTACCAGCAGGTGGCGGTAAATGTCTTTATGAGTCGATTCGTTCAAACGGCAGATTAATTCAGTAATGAAGTAAAGGGCTCACTTTATGAATGGACCATTGAATCATTGGTTCACATGATTCGTTCAAAACGCGGATTCATTCAGAAACTAAACACCGCTGTGTTGCTCACAGACGCACAACAGTTCTGCAGTGGCTTTATAGGATATATTTTCGCTGGCCAAATTGAACAAAAACACAATATTGTGTTTAAAATATAACACACTATTAATTTATTATTTACTATAAAATCACATTTGCACCTTATTCAGTCTTTGGTTTGCATATATATATATATATAAATAAAAGTTAATTCAACACCTTAATACATACTAGTAGACAAATTATACTAAAATAGCTATGGAGCTAATTTTATTATATGCTTTCCTTTGTTTTGTGAAAATTGCATACGATAAAACATAATAAGCATATCGAATATGGCACTTGTTAGTTCAGTTGAAAAAGCATGGAATTGTGGCAGGCCATTTAAGATATTTATGAAATAATGTGGAGGTTTTTATATTATGCATACAACATTTTACATCATGCATATCTTATATGAGATGGGATAAAATCAAATTTGCCAACCAAACATCATGCATTTATTTTCACTAGGCAAGTAAACAGAAATTTCTGCTTCAAAACATTATAAAACAAAACAACTGTCTGAATATCAAGTTTTACGATGTCTTTGCATTTATATTGTGTTCTGCAGTACTGCATAAAAGTCACGTAAAATACAATAAAAATACACTTAGTTATTTTTCCTCAAGCATTCATTTCTAAAAGCCCAATGCAGATGAGAATCGTTACGCACACATTCGTCTGGAGTTTATACAGCTCTTTTAGTCATATGGCTGTGTGTGTGTGGATCTGATTGGCTCATCTGTCTTCACTCCGTTCTCCATTATTCATTTTAGGATGTATCATTCATTTATCTCTCTCTAGGGCACTTGTAACATTTGTGCCTGCACTTTGTGCCAATAAACGTGAAACTTCAGTCTTCCCTACTGCGTAAGTATCTTCTGTTTCCCATAATGCAACACAAATGCACACTGACAACAATAAAGAATCGTTCTTATGATATATAAACTGTTCCAAAAATGCAGTAACTCTTCTATACATCATATTGTGGTCTAAACAATGATGTAAAACTACATTTCTGTGCAAGACAAACTTTGCATTTCTCTCAGACATTTACAGAGGAAACATCCAAGCATTCAAAGCAACAGCAGCAAGATTATTGTGACAATGCGTGTTTATGTAGTGAACCGAGTTATAGAAGTATTACACAGCCCACCTGAGAAGCTCCCCAGCATGGTGTCAGTGTTGTCACCCCCATCAAACACCTCAAGAGAGTCCCAGTTCTGCTCAGTCACAAAGCTAATCACCTGGATC